TTCCCTCTCTTCACGCGCGTGGATGCTCGCGCTGATCTACGCCGCCTCTTCGACCTGCCCTACGGATGGCCGGCCTAACCCCGACCGCCGTGCTCTAGGGCTGTCCGCCCTCACGAACGCCGCCAACACGACAGTCCCTACCACTGTCTTCTTGGTCCGATCTGATATTTTCTTGGTCTATTCAACATACCCATCTTTCGATCTCATCAGACTGTGTACTGTATTTTTTGGTGCCAGGTGCAAGTCAACAACTCAGTTGGTTGTAGCATGCCAGTGATATTGGCTATATTTGTATCAGCTACAGGGACAAACATATATACATTATTGAATCATACTATCCTAATTATTTACTTATTTTCAGAATGTCATTTGGCTATTACTATTTGTTCTAGGAGAAACAACTCAGCTTGCTGTGATGCCAACACACAAATACAATTTCTCCTGATGTTCATAATTATGTTCATGCTGATTTGAGGTTGATCTATTACAGGGATTCTTACACCTTTAGTTAAAAACCCATCTATACAGTAAACGATTCAGTAAAAGTGTCATGTCTGAACACCACAAGGTAGCAGGTACACCACACCCATTTCCACTACATGGTTCAGTAAAGACACTTCTTTGCTTTCTTCCTACAAATTATAATTTTCACTATCCTTTTTCAATTCCCTTCATCATATGCTTACATAAAGGATTAGTGGTATAAGTACCTGTGCTACAATCCACATTGATATGCAATATGTATGGTTTATAGGTTTGCTTAGAAGGTCAAATGTATGAACATTCTAGGTTCATCACACCTCGACTCATATGGTTTACTGCCTTACATATAGTACTTTTTTTTGCAATGATCCTCTTCTACCATTCAGTTCTCTGTTGTTCTACTCAATCTGTTTATGCACCCCAAGCTGAAATAGCACTCTTCTTAACTATGCAAGGTGCTTCCATCAATGAGCGACCACCCCAATCGGAAATACACGTGTGACTCTGAGCAGGAGAGCTTCCCTTCAGGATTCCATCTTCCATCGCGCCGAAAAATTAGGCGTGGCCTTATGTTCATGACTGACTGCGAATCCACATCATTACATGCGGTTCTTCTTCCTAATGATATATAGTACTAAATCAGTTATATGCTCATTGAAAATAACCCACCTGGACATGAATATTTTCAGGACATCTCAACCCAGTGATGTTAATGCTACTCCAAGGTATTCATGCTACATACTCTTTGCCTCACTTGAGATTTCTTGCATAATATTCTTCCTAATATATTTACTATCATATAATCAGGTATATCAACTTAACTGTACCCAAATAATAGCATTAGTACCATATATTCTAAGTTTATCAAATGGTTGAAACAGTCCATGTATGTTTAGTTGTTTACCATATATAGCATTAATAGCAACAACAAGACTGTACATCCATGTTTTATATCAGTGCACCAATGGTTGAAACTAATTACCAAAGGATCAGTTAAAAGAACAGCTATTAGTCATCTTTGCACATCAGTCATTGAACTTAAAATTCCATAACACTGCTATGGCTGAATACATGGACACCAGATTAAGGCCAGTTCCTGGTAATCCTAGGATGAACAAATGCGACCTTAATGAAAGCAATAAAGTTCATAATTCAGCAATGGTTTGCACTTATCGCTTTTACCATCCAATGATGGACTTATTTTATCGTGCCCACTGAGTTACTGAAAATCATAGTAACTACAGATGTATCATGGATTTTTTTCCACAGTTACTGTCATATAGACTAAAGCATGACACCTCTTCCTAACCACCATTTTTACTAAACTGCACACATGAATCTTCATGTCATACTTTTAATTTGCTACTTTGCCTAATACTCTCTACGACTCAGCTGCTTATATTGGACATTCCTTACGGCACAATCTATAGCAAAGTTTTAACCTCTTCACAAAAATTATCAATTTTACATATTCATCACATGCCGTATTATACACTTGGCATAAGAGGTTGGAACTTACACCACTGGCAGACCATATTCCATAGACCATGTTTCCTGCAGTTACACTACATATAGTACCATGCATTTATTTTACGAGTGGGACATATAGATAGCTTAGTGCATTTTTTCTAAAATAGATTAACTACATTGACTGCAAATCATTTTTTCCCAGATTCCATGGTGGACAGCATCCTACCAGATTAACAAGGAGCTTCCCAACTTTCTCCAGCATCGCAGTTCAACAGAATAGTTCGATTAATTATGGCCTTCATACGAAAAGGTTTGCTGGCACTAAACATCCTGTCGTTCTCCCTGTAGGATTATACCATTATGCGGATTAGAGCAGGTGCCTCCAGCCCATTTGCTTTTGTTCACACATTTCTTAACGCTCCCTAGACCCCGCACAGAGCGGGAGCTCTCTGCACTGGGTAGGCCATTTTTTTCCTGTTTGGTATTGAGTTACTGACTTGCTGCTGGTATTTCGTGGACCTTCTTTCATATATTTGCTGACTCGATTTGATAAGGTGTGATCGTCTTTACTTTAGGATACTGGGCTTATATATGTTCGTGGTTGCCCACTGACGCATGCGTTCTTATGTTTGTGGCCTCCATTTCAATCAATTTTACTCTTTATTTCCAGTTGATCAATAAAAATGGTACTGGAAACCAGTTTCATTTTTGTGGCCTGCTTTCAGTCTCCACAAGTTGATATAAATAATTTTGATTTGCTCCCTTTTTCCATATTGGTTGGTTGCTTAAAACCCATGAGTACAACTGTACAAGGATGGCTTTGGCAGGTAGGTAACCTCAAATTTCTAGAGATCAATTAGTGAATACTCGAAAATTTATTGATGTTTGTTTTTTGGCTTCTTCATGTTCTCTTTATAACAATCGTTTAATTTGTTTGCCTTATTTATTCTTTGCAGATTTCTAGGTGATTTCTTTTTTTTATAATTATTTTTAGTTCTAGGGAAGCCCATGTAATATTTTAGTTCACCATTTCCTTTATTCTTATGATCTATTGTCCAAACACTTTGCAATTAGTTATCCTATCCTAATCTAATTCTACAGAAACGCGATGGGACAATTAGCTCCTAGATGATATCTCAAATTTTCCATTCCTCACTATATAATTGTATTTGATTTTATGTATATGCCATCGTGGACTGATCTTTCCGAGTTTATGCTTCGAGACTGTTCCTGTATAAAATGGAAGTGTTGTGGCCTCCGCTATCGGTGAGGCGTGAAGAAGAATCAGTACATCAGGTTGCAACACATTGTCTCTCTCAAAACTCACTAAAGTTCCAATGTTGTCTATATGTTCAGAACATGTACACTTTTAGGTTACTATTATATTTCTATATGTTAATCAACAAATACGATAAATACAGGAGTATATATAAATAACATACTATCAACTCCAATTGCAATCCTTCCTAGCGCCCGCGGCAAAGCGCGGGGGGCCACTAGTAGTCATATAAAGTTGTTGCTTTTGAACTTAACTGTTTTGTGGAGCTGCAGAGTGCTATTTTTTTCTTCTTGAATGCGCAAGAGGATTGCGCATTTATGTATTAAGATAGAAGGAGTGCTAAATTGTCATGTTCCTACTCTAATTACTCACATGTTCTCTCTGTCAGCCATGGTTGGGTATTTATTTGTGGATATATATTTATCTATGGTCTATGTGATAACTTTGGTGATTATATATCTTTTGTACACTATGGCCTTATATACCAATCCTTTTTATCGGAATATGTATGTTACTCTGAAAAAGTTCTAGTTGAATTTTTGCACATAAAAATTTGATTTATGTACTGATGTTAGCAATCACTGTGGACTCTCTACTTTAAATTTGCATATAGTCCAGAGGAAAACCTGATCCATTATACTGTCTCATGTGGTGGTGTCTGAATGTTTAACTAATCACAATATTTTTAACTGATTTGCATATATGTGAAGCCAAGGTTGGCATGGAGAAGGCGCACTGAGCTATTGTGAAGTCAAGGGGGCGATAGTTAATAGTGTACCTTGAAACCAAGGGTACAGGTAAAGCACTTGTTTGCTCAGATTGTTTATGTTCTATGTTCTAAGCATTAAACAAATAAACAATATGTAGCCCTTTAAAAAAGACGCGTTCCATGTTATCAGAACTCCTATGTTGAAATGTGCCATGTAACACCGTTGATTCTTGGCATCTGACTTCCTCATTTCACAGGAAGTTGGATGGTTTACTTTGGGGGACTTTGTATTTGATCTTCTATTATGAAGTTTATTTATTGTTTGTTGCCATCCTTCAGGATCTGATTTTTTATCCTTCAAGATCACGGAGACATGGAGAACCCCAGGCCATCGACTCACTCTTCGGGGCTAAAATCCTTGTCATTGAATCAGTCAGGAACAGCGATTTGGAGGAGGCCCTGGTGGTAATGGCTGGCCATGGAACGTTTCATGTCAGGGTTTGAGACGTTGGTCACATGGTTTGTTGGTCAGGCAGTGCAAGCACCCCAGGAATGCTTGATTGGAATGTCTTCCTTGTCATAAAGTAATAATAAAGCAACCTATTGGCTGTCTATACAAAATAGCGTTTGGGATTATCTAACTCTGTTGTCAATTGAAGTCTCGTTCTCCATCGACCCAAACACGCAGTACAACAGCACTTGATTGGAACGTCTTCCCTGGAAAGAGAAGTTGAACCCATGCAAAAGGGGAAAACAATTGGACTTGAAAATGAGATGGCATGAAATTTGCATATATCTTGGAAGTTATTTGGACAGCTTGTAATAATTGAGTATTCAGGAACCACGAAGATTGCACATGGATAATAAAAGCTTACGAACAAGTAGGTAAACTTGACAATGCTCTATCCTTATTTCATTGATGTGGCAACACAGATATTTGCACAAGGCCATCTGAATTCCAAGATATCATTAAAAAAAGCCACCTCATTGGTAATAATGTTGCAATAGAGTGCTCCACATTGGAAGAATGAAGGACAGTGAATTATACACACTTAAATCCTATGGGATTTCTGCAATGTAATCCTTGATTCTGTGCAGCTGAGCAGCAGCGTGTTCCATGTTCATTCTTTCTGATGAGTTGTCCATTGAACATGAGACGCCAACTCGTATCACAGAAGCTAAGCAACTGAGTATCTCAGAATCATTGTCATACAGCTCCGCATGCAATAGTTCTGGGTCAATGATTTCTGATATCCTGTCAGGTAAACCTGCCTCAGCAAGCAAGTGCAGGGTCAAGCCTTCTATGAACATATCATCAGTTGGTGCCTTCCCTGTGAACATCTCAAGCAGAGTAACCCCAAAGCTGTAGGCATCACCAGCAACTGATGCTTGACCACCTGCTCCATATTCTGCAGGAATGGAAATATTATGACAGTTGACAATGCCACAAGAAGATGATACAGTAATGGCACTAAATCAAGGCAGATTAATTGACTAGAAACAAAATGTGATTTGTAAATGGTGGAGGTACCTGGAGCGACGTATCCAGTGGTTCCTCGTATCCCAATAGTGCTTTCAGTCCCAATGTTCAAATTTGATCGGTCCATGGATTCACCAATCAGCTTTGCAAGCCCAAAGTCAGCAACATAAGCAGTCCAGTCACTACCAAGGAGGATGTTGCTAGGCTTCAAATCACAGTGGATCACTGTTGGATAACTACTGTTGTGAAGATAGTATAGTGCATCTGCTACATCAGTCGCAATGTTCATCAGTTGGGTTAGACTTAACTTGTGTGTCTGCTCATTGCTTCTTGGATGCAGCCACCTGTCCAAGCTGTACCTGGGCATAAAGTCGAAGACTAGAGCTTGGAAGTCATTCCCTCTAGAGTCTATACTGGAGCAACAGGTGATAATATTGATCAAGTTCCTATGTTTCACTTGTCGTAGAGCCTCACATTCAGCCAAAAAACTTCTGGAAGAACCAGGTTGCTGTGGAGTAAACACTTTGACAGCGACTACAGAATCCCTAGCACTTGTAAGAGACAAATTTCCTTTATAAACAGATCCATATTTTCCAGCTCCTATCAGATTAGTAGGGGCAAAACCATCCGTAGCTTCAAAAAGTTGGAGGTATGAAACTCTAGGATACTTGTTGTCCAACAAATGGTTTTGTGTAGCATTGATCCTGTCCAATCCTTTTCTCCCTTTGAACAGAAAGAGTGCAACCAATAGAAGAGCTAAACATATAACGATGCCAACAGCTGGAAGAAAATCTTCAGTTGCAACCGTTTACGGTGGCTGTGTGGCTTGACCTCACATGAAGGCAATTTCAGCTCTGCAACGCCACCACAAAGCCCATCATTTCCAATTACAGAAAACCCACTCATGTTAGTGAACACCCCATGTGACGGCACCTCACCCTCTAGATGGTTATAGGAGAGATCCAGCTCTACAAGAGCGCTTGAGTTCTGGAGAAGTTGTGGAATGGCTCCAGACAGAGAGTTGTGAGCTAGGTAAAGCTTTTGCAGCCCATGAATCTTGCTCAACTCTTGAGGATGCTACCAGACAGACCATTTCTTGTGAAATTCAGCATGGTCAAGCCCTTCAAATTACCAATTGATGGAGGGATGCTCCCAGTGAAGTAATTGTCATCGAGAGATAAGTATACTAAACTTGCACAGTCTCCAAGTGCTCCTGGTACTTCACCAGATAAGTTGTTTTTTGACAGATCCAATGTTGTCGCATGCTGGAGGCTACCAATTTGTGGAGGAAGAACACCAGAAAGATAATTGTGAGAAAGTAACAATGAATCAGTTAGTGATGAGAGGCTGAATATTACTCCAGGGATAGCACCGGTAAGCCTGTTGAAGGATAATGTCATGGATGTTAACCTGTGCAAGCTCCCAAGGTTCTCAGGAATGGAGCCATTGAGCTCATTGTTTGATAATATTAGGGTGAGCAGTTCTGTGAGGTTGCCAAAGGAGGGTGGTATACCTCCTGATAGGAGATTCGCCTCCAGCGTGAAAAATTTCAGGTTTTGAAGTCTTCCAATGTCCTCAGGTATAACACCATGCAGATTATTTCCAGCGAATTCTAGGTCCTCAAGGCTGATGAGGTTTCCAATGCCCGGAGGGATTACCCCAGACATCCCATTCATTGACATGAGTAGCAGCTGTATTGGACCTGTGAAATTGGCTACAAAACTTGGAAGCACTCCTCCCAGGGTGTTATTACTAACATCCAGAACCTCTAGACGGGTGCAGTTGGTGAAATATCTGAGGAACTCCCAGCCCGCATCATCCTCAGCTTTCAGCATGTTGTTCCCCATCTCAACAAGCACCGGGCAGAGCGTCCCTATCTCAGGAGGCACCCTTCCTCCGAAGTGGTTGTTGGCAATGACCAGCTGCTGTAGTTTGGTGGCATTTGAGAGGGACGCAGGGAGTGTTCCGGAGAAGCTGTTCTTGTTCGTAGCGCCACCCAAAAGAAGCACTTCAAGGTCAGGCAGGTGCCTGCCTGCATCTGGTGGCAATCTGCCATGCAGATTATTTGAGCTGAAACCGAAATACTGGAGGGACGATATGTTGAAGAGAGGTGGAATTGTGCCCGAAAGGCTGTTCCTCGCCGCTTGGATGTATCGGAGATACCTCAAATGGGAAAGACCCTCTGGGATGGTTCCTTCCAGTTTGTTCTGATAGAGTGCTAGCCTTTGGAGTACCGAGAGATTGCCGAGTGATGGCGGTATATGTCCTATGAGATTATTCTCGCCAACATAGAGGACTCGCAGCTGAGATAGCAAGCCCAGACCACTAGGGATTCCCCCATGAAGCTCATTGACCTCTACGCTCAGGTACACAAGGTTGGAACAGTTGGCCAGGTCTACAGGAATCTCACCAGCAAGATGGTTGTACGCCAGCTCAAGAAAGCTCAGACGACGCAGCCGGCTGATGGTGCGCGGTATCTCCCCTGACAGCATGTTGTCGAAGAGATCGAGCGACTGAAGAAAGGTGAGGTTGCCGATAACAGGAGAGATGCTGCCTCCCAGGTTTTTCTGGCGCAGGCTCAGAGAAACCACCCTGCCCGGATGCTGGCGGCTGCATGTCACACCGGCCCAACGGCAGAAGTCGGAGCTGCTGCTGTTCCATGAGCTTAGTAATCCCGAGCTGTCTGTCAGCGCCTCTTTGAGTGCCAGCAGTGCTTCACGATCATGGTATTCGTACCTGCCAATAAAGGAGGAGGAAGATGCCGGCCGGGCTGTGAGTAGGAGCACTAGCAGCAGCAGGGTCACCATGGAATGCAGTGTCACCATGGTTTCTAGTATTAGGTGTAAAGATGGCAACGGGCACAGAATGCCCGCATGCCCGCGGGCATGGAACCCGATGGGCAAGGATACGGGCACCACTTCTTGCCCGCGGGCACGGGCGCGGGCACCATCCTGAACCCAGAGGATAGTTCTTCGCGGGCAAAGAAATTTGCTATCCTCGCCCGCTTATCCGCCAGACCCGCTCCACAGGTCTAACATGTGGGACCTACAGGCAAATATATGTATATATACACGATTTGTTGTGAATATGTATCTTCATATCTCTTGTAATGCACTATGGTTTATGTATATGCTCAACCTGGCGGGCACACGGGCATGCCCGCGGGCATTTCATGCCCGCGGATGGAGGGCGTGGTTTGTTGCCCGTGGTGGGTCGCGGGCGCGGGCATAAGAAGACAGTATCCGCGGGCATCACGTCCGCTGCCATCTTTATTTAGGTGTAAGGTTTCATTTTGCAATCAACAAGTTTGGAGGTGGATGGGTGGGCTTGGGGAGAAAGTTTTGGTACCACGTGGGCTTGGGGGGGGGAAGTTTTGGTACTACGTTGTCGTGTTGATTTATACTCCAACTACAGCAAGATCGACCAATAGGAGAGTGTTGGTCCCATCTCCCGAAGGGACGTCGGTCGTTCTTTGCGGCGATGATTCGCCGAGTATAAAATCCGATCAATCAATAAAGCAAAGCACAATTCAATCTATTCTTCTTGTTTTCTTTGCACTGAAATAAAAATAAAAACTCTTTGCCGTCCCTTTTTTGTTTTGTAAAAAATAAGTCTCATTGCCGGAGACGGCAAGGCGTAATGGTTGTGGAGTGTTTGCTTTGGTTGGAATTCTTAGGTCCCGTTCGCTTCGCTGAAAAAACAAGCTGAAGTACTGTTCTAGCTGATTTATTGTGAAAGAAAAACACTGTTCCGGCTGAAAAACAAACTGAAAAATATAGATTATAAAAGAAGCGAACATGGTTTATAATCCGTATTTTTTAGCTTGTTTTTTAGTTTTTTTTGCGGGGTAGCGGTTAATTTAGATTGTCTTTCTTAATGGCAGAATTGGTTAATTGAGATACTAATTTAGGTGTTGTTTTTATTATGTTTCATTAATGACAAATGTGGTTAATTTAGATTTAAATTTAGTGGTTATTCTGAATTGTCATTTATAATGGCAGAGGTGGATAATTTGTATATAAATTTAGGGGTTATGTGAATTATCTTTTACAAGGAGGGAAGCGGATAAAGTTTTATAAAACATAACAGATCTAATGGCTACTATCATTTGTGATCATGGTTAAATTTTACTCAACTAAAAACTAGATGTTTCTTATTATTATAAACTTTTTAAGATTTTTTTTCAACGGGTTGAATGAAAACTAACGTGACGTGGTCTGCGTTAGAATCACTAATAATTAGTACTTCCTCAGTCAAAAAAAATATAATTCTACCTCGGTACCAGATTAAAGTATCTTAAGTTTCACTACTATAGATAAAAAAATATATAATTTTTTCTGATATAATATTAAATAAATATTATTAGATTTTTCATGAAATATATTTTTATAACATATCTATCGGGTATCATACATATTAATATCTGTATGTATCTATATACGTGGTCAAACTTTAGATATTTTATTTATCAATGCATCTAGAATTGTTGTTTTTCAACGGAGGGAGGATGATTGGGGGTCCTCTTGTAAAGTGGCGTGTCCCCCTCACATACAGGTATTGCTCGCTGCCCACATGTTTCTTCCACCGTGTCTGTTTGGAATGCGAGATTTTTCTTTATTCCTGCGTTTTTTTTATGAAATTGAATTGATTCCTGTGAAATTTCTATGTGATTCCTATGAAATTCCTACGTTCCAAACCGACTCGAAGAATGAGAGTGGCCGTCACATCTTATCTTTAGTGCGTTGTGGAATTCCACGGCGCAGTAATGCAGTGCTTTCACCATCAGGGTATCACATCCGAATTGACCTCTATTGGCAGTACAGAAAATAGCTCCGTAGAAAATCTTGTGCTTTGAGCAATTGAGCATAAGCCACGTTAGTATCACCAGGAACATTATAAAAATGCTATACTTGGCCTGCTTCAAGACAAAAAGTATTATTGGCTAATTTATTGTAAGAGAAAAATATTATTCGTTGGTTAAAAAATATGGCTTATAAACCAAATGAATATGACGCTTATCTCCAGAAAAAGCTAGTTCAAGATTCATTTAAACCAAACATTTGGCCTAACACGACCGGTTCAACATCCAATTGCTTCAACAGTCAACAAGGCTATCTTGGAGAGAGCTCCGTGATGGATGCTTCGTTACATGACATCAACATTGAGCTATCCGTGCACCCTGAAGCTCCTGGCCGTTCCGGTGAATACGCGTCTGAGCTGTCAGTGGCACTAACCTCCTGGATGCACAAGGCTGGCCTGGAAAGAGACGTGAGGCGCACCGTGCTGCTGCTAAGGCCCCGTTCCGTTCGGCTGGAGGTTTCCGGCTGCTGGCTGATTCTGTAACAGTGATGGAGAGCGGCCAAAACCGACTGAACTACAGCCAAAACTAGCTAAACTACAGCAGCTCCATTTGAATTCAAAATATGGCGCCAATAAAATTGAATTCAAATACCAGCACCAAATAACATCCATAGGCAACCCTTACATCAATCACATGAATCTAAAGTACCAAATTCTCCGATTCACCGAAGACAGACATACAACTATCACAAGCACGTACATGCTTAATCGAGAAAAGCACAGACATCAGACATCAGAGAGGCCAAACAGCACACCCACGATTGCTAAAAGTAAAATAAAATAGTACAACGAAGTGAAAAATGAAACCTTGAGCGGTTCTTCATGCTCAAGATACACGTCGCACCTCGTACTATTGATGGCAATGCTTACCAACAATTGTCTTCTTGTGCTTTAATTTATGATAGGCAAATGGACCATTGCTAGCTTGTGTAGTGATTATTAATCCGTATGCTTAGTACTCTCTTCGTCTCATAAAAAATATTATTCTCACTTCTAAAAAATCATAAAAAGTTAACTTTGACTAGTTATATATAAAAGAATATTAATATCTATAATGCATAATTAGTATCATTAGATAAATTCTTAAATATATTTTTATAATAAATTTATTTATTGATATAAATGTTGTTAATATTTTTTTTTATAAAACTAGTTAAGCTTGAAAATTTTGACCAACACGTATATGTAGCATTTTTTTGAACAGGGAGAGTATGTTACTAGTAGCCTAGTAGGCCCTAGTGATTAGTTTCCGTACATTGCACGCATCAACTGCCTGAGAGCCATCCTCCCGCTCTAGGATGTCGTGCTAATAAACTTGTCTATTCTTCCTTTGTTTTTTTTATAGTGCAACACCAGGGACAAAGAGTCTCCAGCTGAATATATTACCATAGATTTCAGATGAGATTTAATGGGTGGTGGGTCAAGGACTTCAAAGTTTGGCTTGGCGCCAATTACAACTCGACAAGAGGAGAAAGTAGAATTACAACACTTAACAAACACAACAAACACAAGACTTACCAGCTCTGCCTATTGACCGATGCGAGTGCCACCACCACCAAAGACGTATTCTGAAGAACTCTATCACACATGCAGCGCAGCTGTATGGTATTGAGTTGGATCGAACAAGAAGCAATGAGGCATTGAGTCAAAGCCAACAGACGGTAGCCACGAGTAGTATCGCCTAAGAGCGCATCTGGGCTCCAACCGACGCCCACCAACACCATTTGGAGAAAGGAAGCCTCAAAGGAGAGGACTGCTAGGAGGAGAACGGAGGAGATTTAGAAAAGAGATCAATGTATCCACAACCCAGCATATTATGAGGTGAAGCACTCAAGTGATCTAGAGAACAGTGGAGCATGTCATTGATGACGAGCACCGACAGCAAGTAGTGTTTGTAGAAACCGAGGGGTAGGAGGTAGTGAGACCAACAAGAAGATAGGGTGAGAAAGCAACTAGAGGGACCATATGGTCATGCCGGGCACGGTCGGAAACAGGCGTGTTTGTGTCGATCCCTTCAAGAAGGAAAATGACGTCCACGATGCCATCATCGATGACCGAACACCTGGCTCGTAAGGGCTTTCACCCCGAGACCCGCCCAATGGATGATCCACAAGACAAGACATGGGCCGCACCATCGGAGGTGGCCTAGCCCACAAGATCAAGGCATGCACGGCGCTGCTCGACGTGCACCGCAAGATATTGTATAGTACCAAATAGGCTACTTTCCTTGTAACCCTGCCCCTTTAGAGTATATAAGGAGATGCAGGGGTCCCGTAGCAGACAAGATACATACATCTACAATGATCCATACATCTCAATGCAATACATCAGAACATAGGATGTAGGTATTACGTCATACTGACGGTCGATCCTGTCTAAATCTCGTGTCTTGGTGCTTGTATTACCATCTCTCTCCTAATCTCGCTCACCTCTACGACAAATCTACCATCGTGGGATACCCCTCGGTGGACCGCCGAGCATCTTTTGTCGACAGTTGGCACGCCAGGTAGGGGTGTGCGCTTGATCCATGGCAAGCCAGATGGACCTCAAATCAACAGTGCGTTCTCGTCATCAATCTCGTGGAGATCCATGCCGGTCCACGACGACAATTCATTGCTGGCTACACCAGCCCCCGCGATAGCAGATCTGATCTCAGAACTGCCTCCGAGGTCGCCTTCATCAACAACTCACCGCCTGCTTCCTCGCTACTAGAGGAGGTAGATCAACAACGACGATCTGATCGCATCCATCGATCAGATCTATTGGAGGCTGCTTGGGAAACTCCAGGGGTTACGGCCCTACCTTTCGGGTTCGCCAACATCGCCGCCACCGTCCAAGATGCCCTTAGGGGCAAATTCATCAACCAGGTTGAAGACATCCATCCTCTCGCCGACCAGATAGCGCCATACGCCACTGACCAGACTTTCTGTCTAAAGCTAAGTCACGCTTTAATTTTTTCCTAAAT